CTTCGCCGTTGTCTTCTGTGCAGGTACGCGGCACCTCACTCTGCAGCGCAGCTATGGCGGACTTCTCTTCACCTTCGGTGTACCTCAGCTATGGCGCCTAACTGGCGCGCGTCTCCTTCCCCGCCGGCAAAGGCGATGGCGCGTGGGGTAACGGGAACCAGCTCCGATACCAATGCATTCAGACTCGCTTTCTTGCCCACTTCGCATACATACAAACAGATGGCGATTCACACTGGCGCAGCGCGCCTACTCAAAGCTCAGAGATATGGAGAACGAGAACACAGTTCAGATGCTAAATCACTTCAACAAGCTATGGCGCTCCAGCGCCTGCACACACAACTCTCGTCACTGTGTCCAACACCACTGTTTGCACATACTCAACTCTGGATCACCCTGAATACTCCACACGCTTCCCTCTCTTACACACACACACACGCTAAAGCCTATCTTCCTCCTACAGCGGCTATGGCCGCTCTACTACTACTGACTATGGCTACATTGTCTCTCTTCAGCCCACTTTGACTTCGGGTGACCTGCAGACCTACGCAGCGAATGAATGAATGCTGGACGCTGCCTCTTGATTTATACTTCTGTAACTCGTTGGTCTGCCCCCTTTTCCACCGGGCCCATGGTGCATACAGTCCCTTATGGTACTTGCTGACTGTACGAAGTGAGACTGGGACTGGGTACCGCTGACTCATCGAAGTTGGACTCCGCCACTTTCCCACTTGCCTTGGCCTAAACGTGAGACACTTTCGAAAGGCCACTTCCGGACCTTGCGGAAGTCTGTGGACTTGGCCTTTCAAGTACTGTAGCAGCTACGACCTTGGCCTTTCAGGACTGTAGCAGCTACGACCTTGACCTCTCAGAACACCTACAGCTACGACTTCTACAGAGCTGTGACCCCTACTCGACAGACCTACGGATCGAACCCGTACAACTACACAGACCTGCGACAGACAACAACCAACTACCAAAACACAGGTCGTGGGTTCAAACACTCAGGGGTCGACTTGATACTGTACATGGGTAAGGTAAGGTCTGGGGATCGAACCCTGGGATCTGCATCTGCCTCTGCAAAGGTGAAAACCGTTTCAGTGGGGGCTACGAACTCCAGCGTTGGCAAAATCCATTTCAGGATTTTGTTTACTTTGTACTGCCGTTCCAATCTGTCCACTAGCAGGCCATTGGTCGGATCTTAAGGAAAGCACATCAACCGAGACTCCGTTAGTAGTGGCGAGCGAACGCGGATTAGGCTCTAAATACCATCCAAGCAAATTAGAAAAGATTGGAAAGTCTTGCCAGAGAAGGTGATTAACCTGAACCCAGAATTGTTCCTTTAACAACTTTTGGCTTGTAGGTGACTGTGAATGTTGGGTTCTGCTTCTGAACCGATTGTTTCTTCGCTTTGGATATTGTGCAGATCGAGCCATTGCAGTTCCTGGACTGCATATCCGCCATGATCCGAGGATGGTCTTCAAAGTTGAAGACAACCACGGCATCGATGTTTTTCAGTTTCTGTTATCTTTTGATGGGATAATTGGTGGAAACTGCCCACGCGAAAATTTTTTCACACCCAAACTTTTCGTGTTTGGCAAGAAGGGCCTACCAGAAAATGAATCTGCCGCAAATACAGCGCCGGGCAGGGTTATCGGACCCAACGTTCGGGCCCCCCGGGGCTGGCCCCTGAACGTTCGGGCATTCGGAGTGCTGTTCGGGGTGCAAACCCGAAGGGGTTTGGCCCCTGCCAATAAATAAATAAATAAATAAATGTATATATATTTTTTTCAATTTTATTTTCTTAGTTCTTTCTGATGTGTGGTACATGCCAAAACATTTCGAAGGCATTTTGCTAAGCCAAAAAAAAAAGAAAAATCGCCAAATATGGTGGTGTCAAAATGTGTCGCCCACTCACTATTTTGTTTTTTTTCTCTTTTTTCTTTTTTTTTTCACTTTATTTCGGGGTAAAAAGAAAATTATCATTTTTTGAAAGTTTTTTTTTACAAGTTTTGTATCATGTGAAATAAACATCTATAAATTTTCAGGGAATTTGGCGAACCCAAAAAAAAAAGAAAAATCGCCAAAGATAGCGGTGTCAGAAACATGATCGCCCACTCACTAATTTTAATTCTCTTTTCATTTTTTCTTATTTTTATTTATTTTTTTCTGTATTTTATTTTTTATTCAAATTTAGTAAAGAATCTGGATGTAACGCTGATGCAAATGTTGATTATTTTATTTTTCTGCGTTTTGTTTTTCAGTTTTTTTAACCTTTTTTTTTTTTTTTTTTTTTGGGTCCGCGTTCGGCCTAAACGGCCGAATGCGTATACAGGGAGGCCCGAAAGTTCAGGCGTTCGGGCGTTCGGGTTCGGGCGTTCAGGTTCGGCCATTCGACCCCGGCCAAATGCCAGCTACCATGGTGCCGGGTTCATAATCCGGTAGGAAGAGGCCAAGCTGTCGGGACCCAATCTCGACCACTAGATTTTCACATCCGACAGCCTGTATTGCCCGTGGGCCGTTCTTGCCAAACGGTTGCTCCGAACTCCTGACTGGTTGTGGACAAGGGCCCAAACCAAGCTGGGCAATTCTGGTGTGGCCTGCCAACTGGGCCTACATGGCCCTGGCATGTCCCACCAGCACCTCCTTAGAAGCTTAGTGTCTGCAAGAGCGAAGCTGCTGTTCCAAATGAGGAGCTGTTCCTTGTCAGGAAGAAGGGGTAGACGGGGCCGAGTTTGCTGCCTTGGCAAGGTGTGAACACTCATAAATGTAGATGAATTGATGTTGTCCTTGGCTGTGGCCTCAACTTCAGCATAGGTCAACCACTGATCAGTACGGGGTTAGCGGTACTTAAACCAAACCTTGTACTGCACTGGTTTGTTGCTGTGTGTTTCCCTGTGATTGCAGGTTGCAACTGCCATTCATGAGATCACCCATGCTCTTGTTTTTGACCCAGTACTTTTTCAAGATTTTCGATATGACGATGGTGAGATTCCATTTCCTAACCCAGAACCAAAAGCCTGTACAACCTGCCAGGACAGAGTCTTCATTGTTAGCACGAGTTCACGAGAGCATTCATCAATGGACAGGCATAATAGTAGAAAGAATTCGTATTTCTATTAAACCACCACGACCTCCTTGAAAATCGGGCCAACCTTCAGAAAGGAAAATCGTCAGATAGTCAATCCATGAAGCAACTGAAAACGCAGGGTGTGGTCTCAGAAGATAGCAGCAGTGCAAAGCCTGTCCAGCCATGTGTAAATATGTGATATAGCTGAATAATATCACCCTGCCTCAAACTGATACTTGCTGCCAGTTGCTGCACTCCGATCAGTGGGATTATCCTACAATGTTTTAAGGTTTACCAGCCGCGGGCTCTTTCCTTTCGATCAACTGGCATCTTCGGCCGTTGGATGTAAAACCCTATTTACATCGCACGGCCAGCGTTGCGCTGCGTCGGTGTTCTCGTGGTCTGGGAGTCTGCCACGTTAGCAAGTTCTCGGTTGGGCAGTTTTGGAGTGTGCGATGTGAATGTGGTTTGGTATGTGTGCGATGTGGCTTTTGGTTGTCGAGCATTCGATGTAAAGATTTGCCGCGTGATTTGCGGTTGTCCGTGCGATGTGCTTGCCCATTTTGTCTTCTTTCTTCTTTCGTTTCTGTTTTCTTCTGTTTTGTGTTTGTTTTTGTTTTTTGTTTTTTGTTTTTTGAAGGACGGGGGTCTGAATCCAGGTGGTCATATGGCCAAAACAGGTAAAACAGAAGCTGCTAAATCCGTTTTCGTACAAAAGCTGCGAAATTAAAAGAAAAGAGAAGGGGAAAAAAAAAAGGTAAATGGAAGGTTGCACTCACCGGAATTTGTTCGGGAACGGGGGCGTGTCAAAGTGCGCCGCAGGCGGTGATAGGGCTAGAACCCACCGCTTTCTGAAGAAAAAGAAAAAATTTCGGGCATTGCGAGAACAATGCAATCAGACACGTCTTCAGCTTCACTTCCAACACGCATGCATACAGATGTGAACGAGTCTGATTGCACTGGTATCAGAGCTGGTTCCCGTTGTCTGCGCCATCATACCTGCCACCGTGACAAAGGAGGAGGTCGCCATCGCGAGACACACACACACACACACACACACACACACACACACACACACACACACACACACACGCACACACACACACATACACACATACACACACAGAGAGAGAGAGAGAGAGAGAGAGAGAGAGAGAGAGAGAGAGAGAGAGAGAGAGAGAGAGAGAGAGAGAGAGAGAGAGANAGAGAGAGAGAGAGAGAGAGAGAGAGAGAGAGAGAGAGAGAGAGACGCCCACGATTAGGAGAAGACAGTCCGCCATAGCGGACGGCATCCTTAGCCGCCAAGCTCGGAGGAAGAAGTCGACCGTGGATGAAGACGAACGTGACGCAGAAGAGAAAGAGAGGAAGAGGTGACGAAGGTGAGGGGAGAAAGGAGGGTAACAAAGGGGAGGACAGCCACCATAGCCAACGTTGACTGGAGCTGACCGGCGTTGTTACAGACTCAGCCAGGGCTCGATCCCTGGTCCGTGGGTTACCACCCGCCAGGCCGCTATTTTATTTTTGAGTTTCTGATCTTCGGTTCCTGACTGTTGGCGCCCTCTGCAGTTGGCGCCCGCTCTCAAATTCCTCCTCTGGCACTTCCGGATTTCGATACTTGGCGCCTTCCGGCATTCTGGCGCCCAGGCTCAGACCTTCGATTTTCAGTTCAGCCCAGAGGCAAATTGCACTTCTGCCCTCGGGACTGAACTTGAGTCTGGTACTTAAAGACCGGACTCAAGCCCAGTTCGGGCATTCGGTTCTGAGCCTCAGTGCTTGTGCTTCAGTGTGACTTGCTGCGGCACTGTGTTCGGAATCCAAGATTGCGACTTTGCGACTTTGCGACTTTGCCTCTTCGTGCCTGTGTCCGTCACGTCGAGTCGAGTCCGTGTCAAGTTGAGTGAGTGTGTGTGTGTGCTCTCACTCTCTCCCTCTCTCTCCCCCGGCCTCACTACTCTGCCTCCGCCTCGTCACACTGGTATCAGCGAGGCAAACGGCCCTCCATCCCTCCGTGCTCCAGCGCCGCCACGTGATCGACATAGTCCGCCACGTCATCGACATCGTTGTCATCGTCACCGTCTTCGGCGCCGCTGCCACGCCATCATCATCGTCGTCCCGATATCGTCGTCGCTGCCATGTCACTGTCATCGTTGCCTCGTCCTCGCCATCGCTGCCTTGCCACCACCGTTGCTGCCATCGGCGATGAGCAGGTAAGTCCTTGGCAATTTTTTTTTTTCTCTCTTTTTTTCCTGCCTCGTTTCTACTTCTTCTTCTTCTTCCTCTTCTTCTTTGTCGTCGTCGCACCCCCCCCTTCTTCTTCGCGCCGCCACCACCCACCCCCCCCGCCATCCCTCCCCCACACCCCCCCCCCCGCACCCCCCCCTTCTTCTTCGCGCCGCCACCACCCACCTCCCGTGCGATCCATCCCGCACACTCCCCCCCCC